GTTTTTGTAGTCGTTGCCGTAATTAATAATGGGCAAACATAAGAAGAAAAAGAAAGAAGAAAGAAGCCATCACTCGAAGCACAAAAGGTACGTAAAAGTAGCTATATACAAGCAGTAATAGAATCAATAATAGTATGCCCTCTCATGCGCGGATACTTAACTTATATAATCTTAACTTCTTCTTTATATCTTCTTATATCTATAGTCGTAAAACTAAAAGAAGCCAAAAAACTACCAAAGAAGACGAAGAATTTTGCACAATTTTGTTTTCAAGACTACGGACATCGTAATCAATAGTCAGTCAACGAAAGGAAGACTTCGACAATTTTACCCTGCTCAAGGTGTGTCCTGTGCAATAACACCAGTTGGACTTCCTTACGCTAAAGACCAGCTGGTCATCGCCAACGCAGAAGCTAGACATAAAAGCATCCTAATTTTAAATGCAAATAGAGGAACAGTCATTCGCAGAATAACATCGCCATTTATCACATATATCACCCTCTGGTATAGCTTTCTCCAGTGATAAAGTCTTTGTGACATGCAGTAGTCACGTGGTTGTCAAATTTGATCTCAATGTAGACAATGCAAACGTGGAAGTGCTGTGCGGCCAACTGAACAAACCAGGAAGTCAGGATGGTGTAGCATCATCTGCGTCATTTCAGTCTCCACATGGTCTGGCCACCTTTGGCGATAGTATATTTGTGTGTGACACTGGTAATAGAAGAATCCGACTTGTGTCCAGTGCTATTCCTTTAAGAAACCTTTCTTCTATCATTTACCCGTATGCTGAGCTTTTCAATCTTGACCATTACAGAGGCACTCCTAGGAAAAACTACGAACAATCACTTGAAATCGTAGAGAGAGATTTTCAGTTTTTTCTAGCAATTCTTATGAAAGATGTGCTGCTTAAAAAGACTACAACTAGAACGGATTTAGATTTCGCAGACAACACTGTGGACATTCTTTGGTTAGATAATGCTTATTCTGGTGATTCGCTTTCATACCGAGAGGCCTATAGGGACGATAAGAACTCACCTTACACCATTGTCGACAAGGTCACCATTAACATCGAAGAGGAGCCTTCGAGAGAACGACTGTACACATTATCACAAGAAAAAGCAAGCAGAATCGAGCGTCGACTTCAAGGCGGCGTTGACAGTGGTTGAGAGTGATGAAGACAGCGATGATGTAGATGAAGACGCTGGCGATGGACGTGTTCTTTATCGTACACGGACAGGCCGCTCAGCTACTCGAATTGCCCTATTTCATTATGACGTCACAGTATGTTTACATCGGAAAACGATGCACAAAAACAGTGGAAATTAGGACCCATTTATATTGTCTACTAAAATAGAACTTCAATGAATCGTGTTTTGATATATATCATGTATAAATGATTGTTCATGTATATTTTATTTGAAATGCAGTCACTCTGATCCCTTATGGCGACCATAATCCTTAGCGTTAAAACAATAGAATGTTTTGATGTGACGTCATAATGAATTAGGGCAATTGTTCTTTAGATGTCATAATAATGTGCGGTTTTCGTATAACTGTAGTTTTTTTTAAACATTCAGAACTTCTGTAGAGTAATAGTGCCGTAATAGTGAAGTAACTTTCACAGTTAGTTTTCCTTCAAGCGCTAGTGTGACAAAGTCCGTCAATCCGCTATTTTTCTTAATTTCACTAGCAGAAACCGTTAATGTTCATGTTTGTTAAGAAGGAATATCCAAATTTATTGGTGTTTAGAGCAAAT